CAAGATCTCTGACTAATAAAATGGATGAATTAAGGCTACAGATTGCAAAGACTAAATTCATCAAGAACTGCTGTGTTTTGCTAATCACAGAAACTTGGCTTCATTCACTCATTCCAGTTGCAGCTGTTGAGCTGGAAGGCTACATAGCTCACTGCAGGACAGGAGTAGAGATTCTGGAAAAATCAAAGGAGGAGGTTTAAGCCTTTATGTGAACAAAAGCTGGTGTATCAATACAAAGACTGTAGACAGCCACTGCTCCATGGATCTGGAGTATATGACTCTTAAATGTAGATCCATATATCTTCCACGGGAATTCAACATGGTTTTGATTACTGCAGTCTATGTCCCACCTGATGCCAATACTACCATAGCTTTGGGATTTTTTTATAACATTGTTAGTAATCAGCAGAATAAGTATCCTGATGCTGTGCATATCATAGCGGGGGACTTTAATCAAGCTGATTTAAAAGAAGTACTCCCTAAATTCTATCAGTATGTTAAATGTGCTACTAGAGGAGCAAACATATTGGACAAAGTATCAAACATGGCTATAAGGTTATACAATTACCACAATTGGGTCAGTCAGACCATATGTCCCTGCTTTTAGCACCAGCGTACATCCCTCTTAGGAGACGGGCTCGATCTATAATAAAGACAGTGAAATCTTGGCCAGAAGATTCTTCCCAACAACTTCAGAATTGTTTTGAGAACACAAATTGGGACACCTTTTACCACCCTGACCTAGAGGAGCACACTGCAACTGTTCTGTGCTATATCAAACACTGCACAAATGCTATCCCTGTGGATAAATGTATTAGGATCTATCCCAATAAGAAACCCTGGATGACCAAGGAAGTCCAGCGCCTCTTGCGTGACAGGACCAAGGCCTTTAGGTCTGGTGATGGGGCAAGATACAGTGTTGCCAGAGCTAATCTGAAGAAAGGTATTCGGAAAGCCAAGACTGATTATAAGAGGAAGATTGAGGATAATTTTTATAGCAATAACATGAGGCAGATGTGGCGAGGGATTCAACAAATTACAAACCATCAACTGACCAATGTCATCCCTGCTGAGGGGGATGCTTCATTGGCAGAGGAACCGAATCTCTTCTTTGCTCACTTTGAAGTGGAGACATCAGAGACAGATAAAATACAACTACCAGCCAATTGTAGCCCCCACCTCATTGTGGAGGAACAGGAGGTGAGGAACATTCTGAAGGCTGTGGACCTTAGAAAGGCTGACAGTATCTCTGGCAGAGTGCTTAAAGACTGTGCTGATCAGTTGGCTGGAGTCTACCAGGATCTTCAATCGGTCTTTATCCCAGTCCACTATTCCATCTTGTTTGAAGGCTTCCACCATTGTTCTGCTGCCAAAGAAGTTCCCTATCAGTAACCTCAACGATTACAGACCAGTGGCACTCACTCCTACCATCATAAAGGGCTTTGGTCTGCTGGCACATCATTTCTGGTCTTCCGCATACATTTGATAAACACCAGTTTGCTTACAAAAAAAATAGATCTACAGAGGACGCTATAGCCATCACTCTTCATACTGCTCTGGCTCATCTAGAACAGTGGGGGAGGGGCTGTGTGAGGATGCTTTTTGTGGATTTTAGTTCTGCATTTAGCACAATTCTTCCACATAAACTAGTGTCTAAACTTCTGGACCTTGGACTTTCTAATTCAATCTGCCTTTGGATTATGGATTTCCTGTCTGCCCGCTCACAGAGGGTCAGATTAGGTAATCATACCTCTTCAGCCCTTATTCTTAACACTGGTACATCATAGGGTTTGCTTGTTGAGTCCCTTACTTTATACTGCATTCCCACTCACACTAGTAATACTATTGCTCAATTTGCAGATGATACAACAGTGGTGGGACTTAACTCTGGGGGGGGGGGGAGTTTGCCTCTTGAGAGAGGGGGCGGACTGGTTGCTTTTGTGTGGAGACAATAACTTGGTCCTCAACACCAATAAGACCAAGGAACTTATAGTGGATTATAGAAGGAACAGATCAGACATCCAGCCCTTGCTTATCAATGGAGACCTAGTAGAGTAAGTGGCCAGTTTTAAGTTTCTGGGTGTTGCCTTAAAAGAGGACCTGACCTGGGGTGCCCGCACTGCAGTCCTGGTCAAAAGGGCCCAACTGAGATTATACTACCTGAGACTTCTCAGAAAACAACAACTGAATTAGAAACTGCTGATGATCTTCTACTGCTGCACCATAGAGAGCATTTTAACATATTGCACAAACCTGTATGGTTTGTCAATTGCATGGTGGCAGATAGGAAAGCACTCCAGAGGGTTAATATCATTTCCCAGAAGATCATTGGTTGACCTGTCCCCAGAAGAGCTTTATAGCTCCCGCTGCCTTAAGAAAGTTCAGAACATTCTCAAAGATCCATCTCATCCTGGGAACCCTTTTTTGAACAGACGGTACAGAATAATAAAAACAAGGACAAATAGGCTGAAAAACAGCTTCTATCCCAGGGCAGTGGTTCTTTTGAATTCTGCTGTATAGTTCAGTACTGGTGTGGTGTCAGGGGTTTCCGGTTCAATGTGTGAAGGATGTGTGTTTGTGTTTATTTTCATGGTCATGATGTGCACTGAAGATGGTATATGATTTCGTTGTACGAGGTGCAATGACAAAGTAAACTAAACTAAATCACCTGAATTTGGCAGAGTTAAATCCTCCCTGAGAATTTGTATAATTTTCTACTGCAGTTCAATTAATTGGATATGCTGATGATACTCGGCAGTATGTCTGGCCCCGTGGTGAATTAAGTGATGCTGTGTCCTCCCTCTCACAGTGCCTGGAGGCTGTTAGGGGCTGGATGGGGAGCAATGGGTTGTAACTAAATCATTGCAAGACTGAATGACTGGGTTTGGGTTTGTTGGCTCAGGGAGAATGGGCACCTTTGGTCTTGGATGGGGTTTCCCTGGAGATGATTTATACCAAGCAATGTGCATGTGTGCAAGGCTGGCAGGGTTGATAAGAAGTGGGGATCTGGTTTACATGAGTAGAGTGGAGCAGGGAGGCAGAATTGCGAGCACTCCTCAGATCTTGTTGGCCGCCTTGTTCATCACAGTTTGATTTTGTTTGAGATGCAGGAGAGTCCTGCAGCAGGAAAGACAGATGGAGGAAGGAGGGGGGATTGCCACTTCATTCTTGTGCTCCAAAAATTGCCCCGCACCAGGCAGAAGCAGATGGATGGAGGAAGAAGGGGTGATATCATTCCCTCCATCCCGCTGCAGGGCCACCATGAGCTCTTGCCCGCTGAAGGTGCAGGGCAGCCAAGAGCAGCGCAGCCAGGAGGACGAAGAGTCCTTACAAAGACCAGCAGCAGAGGCGGGGGGAGCAGGTGATCCCAACATACCATACGGTTTTCTGTCTCATTAGCAGCCTGTGAAAGACCCAAGCTCCAGGCCTGATGGAGCGCAAACCATGTTTGCACCTGCTCCAAAGCCACAAGGTAAACTGCGGAAGAGAGGCCCTCCACCGCAAGTTGCCTGGCTCTGTGGGCAGGGGCAGGATTGGTAAGAGTGTGCTGGAAACACCTCCAGGCACCTGGAGAGACAAAACGAGAGGCAGCTCCTGGCCCTTGATGGCTGAACTGATCCACACAGCCGTAATTAAGGGGCCAAGCCTCCGTGAGGTGACTGTGGAAGGAAAGGAAAGGAAAGGAGCTGCCATGCCTCAGGGATTGCTGCCCATGTTTGTGAGGGGACACACAGTTTGATTGCCTCCCGTGCTGGCTATGCCCCCTCCCCCTTTGCTAAGGCTTATTTTTGGGGTAGGGCTTGTATTAGGCCCATCCCCCCCCCAAAATCAGGCTAGGCTTATTTTCGGAATAGGTTGTATTTTTGGGAAAAACTTGGTGAAAATAGCAATTTTATTCTTTTTCCCATTTAATAAAACCAAAAATATAAAGATTCTGGAGCTCTTCCTTATCATTGGAATGAAAAAATTACTGTATTTTTCAGAGTGTAAGATGCTCCGGAGTATAAGATGCACCTTAGTTTTGGGGGAGGAAAATAAGGGGAAAAAATTCTGCCTCTGCCTACCAGCATCCATCAGTATTCATCTGGCAATGTGTGAGAGTTGAGGGCTGTTTGGAAACCAAAACATTATTTGCTGTTTGAGAAGGAAGGAAACAGCAAGGAGCCTGGCTATGGCTTAGCTCAATTGTTCTGTACTAAAGCTGCATGCTGCTCTGAAACTGAATATTGAAACTCCTCTCCACTGCTTGTGTTTTGCTTGTATTTACTACCATATTGGAAAACCTGATTTTGTTATTGTATATCATGTGTTGTATACTGTATAAAGAGAAATTACTGAATCCTGCTGAATCAGTTACTTTGTGTGTGCTTTCTGGACGTGATTGCTGATGCAAATTCTGACACATCCTTGCGGCAAATAGCGAACAGCCAGGTTAGCTTCAGCACATTACTGCAGCCTGGTTCAGCAGGAACAGCGGATTGGCAGGTGGATCGACCACCTGGAATACCCCCAATCAGCTGTTCCAGGCTACAGGGATTGCCACAGACCATCACCATCTCCGTGCCTTGTGTTTTTGGCCTCTGTACCTCACGTTTTTGGGTTCATGCGGGGCTACATTCGTTGTATAAGATGCACCCAAATTTTCATCCTCTTTTAGGGAAGGAAAAAGTGCATCTTACATTCTGAAAAATACAGTACATATCAGCAATCAGATATATACAATAGTGCCTATACAAGTGCCAATAGCAATTCAGTCATACAAATAAATACTACCTTTTCTTTTCCTTTGACTCAGTATTGATCCTGGTAATTGCCTGAGCAAGATCCTTAAGCTTTTTTGACAAGATTTTGGCTTGCCATTGCCTGTTTTCTAGGCTTGAGAAAGAGCATCTGGCTATATTTGATTTTAATATTAGAAATTCTAAGCATTAGTTCCCCAAAGAGCACTATACAGATTTGAACATCTACCTGAAGTGACAGTTAATTAGATTTTTTAAATATCTGAACTATTTTTTTCTAGGTTTAACTACAGATCAACACATCATCTTGCATCACATGGATTTTACGAATTCTTAAATTGGTTTGATGAAAGAGCATGGTATCCACTAGGAAGAATAGTTGGTGGAACTGTGAGTATCAGAAAAAAATATTAAAGTTCTTGACAAATCTCTTCAAACTGGACTCTGTTTAAACTGTTTTTATATTTCTATGCTATTTCAATTTCTAGTTTGCAGTCAAGAAATATATATGATACTCAGTTTTGTTTTGTTTTTAAATTAAATCAGATATGTACTCAAATTCCATCCTTAACAAGTATTTGTTTAAAATGAATGAATTTTACATTTATAATAAAAATATTAAAGATTATGTTCTCACCTCCTAGTTCTCTTGTTACTATCCATCAAATTAGTTCATAGTATAACATTCCTACAATGTGAATAATAAAATTACTTCAAGCATTTAAAGGCTTGAATATTAGATATTTCTTATTTACTGTCAAATATTATATACATACATTGGTATAAAAAGCTATAACATCCCTCACTTCATCAGCAGCAGATTGGTTTAGTTGATCAGGCTAATTAGCCAAAAGTTCATTCCACCCTTACTTTAAGTATTCATTTCTGAATACTTAATGTAAGTTGTCAGCTAGGTTAGTCAGGACCTCTTCGACAGGAAATCAGACAGGAAACACAAATAGATAAACTAATTTCACTTTATTGTAAGATAGACTCTAGTAACTTTGAAGGCACATGCTTTCCACTTTCACTTTTGACTGTTTGAATCATTAAAGCGAAGTCTTTCCTAAGTTTCTTTCTCTGACAGTTAAGCGACTGTGGGCTCCTGCCTCTCTTGTCTGATTTTTTCCCAGACAGTATCTCTTCTCCTCTTTCCCAAGATCATTGATACATTCCATTACATCATCTTCTTCCAATAACTAAATGCCACCAATCTTCCCCCACTCATGTTTTGTATGTCTGCTGTAGAAAGTTGATTCATTGCCCCCCACTTAGTCTCTTGGTATAGTTGAAGCTCCCTACATTTCATAGACTAGTCCCTTCTGCTCATCATGGTCAGTGATTGACCTTTGCAGGATCCATAACTTCTTAGACAGGGTTTGTTTGGGTATTGGTTGGGAAAACCTATCAATTGTGATAAATGAACATCTCTTGCTTGCTCCCATATTCTTTCAAACTCTGATTATCTTTCTGGGTTTATTAAGCAGTTACCTTGCTTCTCTCTGTGTCTCAATACTGCTTGCAACTCATATTCTTCTTCCTATCTATTGGAATGGAAGGGGGTACTTTTGTTACAAATGTAGATCAGTTAGACATCTTCTCTATCGGAAGCCAGATGATGAACAGATGACATGTATTTTAATTTTTAAAAATAGGAAGAGGGTCCTTAAAAATTTGGAAGTAAATTGACTTCCTTTATCTGTTATGAGATTGACCAGTCCTCTATACAGGTAGTCCTCCACTCATGACTAAAATTGAACTCAACATTTCTGTTATCAAGCAATAGAGTTAAATGATTTTTGCCCGTTTTACAACCTTTTTTGCATAGTTAAGTGAATTACTGCAGTTCTTAAATTAGCGAATGTGGCTTCAGAAAGTCACAAAGATGATCACATGATCCCAGGACCCTGCAACTGTCACAAATGCATGCCAATTGCCAAGCATCCAAATGTTCATCACATGAGCATGGGGGTAAGTGTGACAAATGGTCAGAAATCTCTTTTTTCAATGCTATTGTAACTTCAAATGGTCACTAAGTGATTGGTTGTAAGTTGAGAACTACCTGTATCTAAAAACATAATCCAAAAATATTGAACCATTTCTTGGGCTGTTAGGAGACCCTTGTAAAGAAAGAAATGGGCCAATAAATCCACTACTACCACTATGGCAATATATTCCTAAACGAGAGGGAAATAATGATGAAATATAGAAAAATAGTATCCTATGGCTGGAGCGGGGAGGGGGAGGTTAGTAGTTGCAACAATCCAGTCGCTTAGGAGGGATTGGTTTTGTCTCTAACATATAGGCCAAGAAGAAACAATTCCTAATTTATCTGTGGATGCAGGGCCACCAATTCTTTTTCAGGGCACTTAATTAGTACTGAATATCCCCCACATCTGCCGCTTTGTGATATATTTCATGACACAGCTGTACTAGCCACTCCTTAGAGACACATATAAATGTCTACTGTGTACTACAGCTGTGTGAAAAAGTCCTGTACGCTTTACAGTTTATGGTTTATGACATTTTTTGGATAGGCCATTGATTTTATGATATGCTAACTGCTATGCAAATATTGTTATATTTAAATAACTACTGGTGGTTCTTAAATGTTAAAGCATAAGCTTTTTGCAATTTGGTACTGTTTGGATGGGAATAGTGAATTTTCTTGCATGCTTACAATGACTGTGATGATACCCAGTGGCATACGTGTTGCAATTACTAAGGCCAATGCTAGTGTTTTGTTAACATTTTTATTGTTTGTGGCCCTGAAAAGGACCGTTTAGGTAACCAAACATGGTTACTAATATGAAATTGGACAGACCTTATTGCTTATCACCAGGCAGCATTGCTTCAGCATAGACTGTATAAGCCTTTGCACATGATCACTAGTGACAATGTGGTGCCAGGCTGCAATAATGGATTCAGTCAGCTCCTGCTTAGTCTTTGGATGCTTCTTGCTTATTTTGTAACCAATCTTGGCCCACAAATTCTCAATTGGGTTCAAATCTGGGCTCTGAGCTGGCCAATCCAGAAGTTGAACACCATGCTTCTTCATGCACTGCTGGATGGACTTGGCTCGATGACAAGGAGCATTGTCATCCTGGAAGTAAAAGTCCTTCCTTACAGGTCAACCCCACAATAACAACTACTTTAGCAACAACTTCACCCATGGCGCAAAAAACAATAGAGGAAACACTACCAATAGAGAAGCAATCTAGCATCTCGAATGCCAGCATTCATGCAATGTTTCTAACTTTACAGGACTCACTGACAAAACTGCAAGAAACAATGACTAAAAACCACAGGGAAACAAGAGCAGATATTAATGAACTGAAGGAAGAGATGGGAAAATTAAAGGCAGAAATGAAGGCAGACATCTTTAAAGTAGAGGATAAAGTGGGAATACTGCAACAGGCCTTGGAGAAAAATGAAGTTAGAATAAAAGAGGTAGAAAAAAGAACTGACCGAACGGAAAAGGAATTAGAAAGAGTGGATGAAGATTTTAAAAACATGAGTAAAGAAATGGACGACTCATTGGTCCTCCTAGAGATGGACAAGGCGGCAATGTACTTAAGATTTCAAAATGTGGCGGAATCAAAAGAGGAAGACCTGGAATACTTGATGGCAGAAATACTGTCCGGTCTTTTGGAAAAAGACAGAGATGATATCCAAAAAGAATTTGATGAAGTTTACCGGGTCAATATAAACTACGCAAGGCGACATAAATGTCCTAGGGAAGTTCACATACGATTCACCAGAAGATGTATCCGTGATATGATATATAAAATTTCTAGAGGTAAAACAATAACTTATAAAGAAAAAGAAATTATAATTCTTAAACAGATTCCGAGAAGAGTAAGGGAACGAAGGCATGATTACAAATTTCTGGCAGCTTATTTAAACCAAAAAAGAATTACATTCAAATGGCTTATACCAGAAGGGATGCTAGTGTCGTGGAAAGAGAGGAAAATTAAAATAGACACCATGGAAAAAGCTCAGGACTTTTATGAACGGATGGTGGGCCCGCAGGAGCAAGGTAGTAGGGAGGAATTGGAGACAAATTCTCAAGAAGAATACGGTGGACACAAAAATAGAACCGGATCTGTAGGGAACCAAGAGGACACTCATTCGCAACAAACGACAGAAGGAACTACAAAAGCACAAACACAAAGAGAAACGGGCGGTTACACGCCAAAGAGCGAAACAGAACTAAATAAATGGGAGAAGAAAAAAAGTTACTATCAATAAATAGAAACGGTTTAAATTCAACGATTAAAAGAAAAAGGATATTAACTAAATTAATCAAACAAAAGGCTGATATAATATGCCTACAAGAAACGCACATAATGAAGAAAGATGAAAAATATTTAGAATGCCCGAAATTAGGAAAGTTATTTACCACACCAGCAGACGAGTGTAAAAAGAAAGGAATTGCAGTATATGTAAAAGAGGATTTAAAAGCAGAGCTAATATGGTTGGATTCGGAAGGAAGGACTCTGGTTTTGCAGATCTGGATCAATGACATCCCAATTCTTTTAGTAGTAATTTATGCCCCGAATGGGGACCAAAAAGAGTTTTTTAAACACCTATATGGAAAAATGGTTGAATTGCAACAAAAAAACATCCTTATTATAGGGGACTTCAATTCTATTGTTGAATATCAAAAAGACCACAGCAACGGCGGGAAAAATAAAAAGGGGAAAAGAGAGCTCCCTAAGATTTGCAGGGAAATGATGAAAGAGTTAAATTTGACAGATATATGGAGAAGACTACATCTTGAGGAAAAACAGTTTACATTCTATTCAAAACCCCACCAAACATGGACACGGATAGATATGGCATGGATGAATGGGGAAATAGCAAACGAAATAAAAGAAGTGGAAATTTTGCCCAATGAATGGGCAGACCACAACCCAATACAGATAATATGGAAGGGTAGGGCAAAACCAAAGAAAAGGTGGACATTAAACACTCAATTAATAAAAGAGAAAGAATACATCAATAAATTAAAGGAGGAATTAATTTTTTTTATAAAAGAAAACGACAATGGAGAAACTACAAAACAAAATATATGGGATACAATGAAGGCGGTAATAAGAGGTATAACAATCTCTTATAATGCCAAGAGAAATAAAGAAAAATATTCCCAGCAAAATAATCTACAACAAAGAATTAAGGAGCTAGAAACTCTACTACAGAATACTCCAAAAGATACAAAACTGCAAAATCAGATAAATATAGCTAAACATAAATTGAATTTAATCGAACAAGAGAAAATGATTACAAATTTGAATTTGACCAGACAAACCTATTTTGAACATGCCAATAAGCCAGGAAGATGGCTATCTTATAAATTAAAAAGAAAGAAAGAAAAGAGAATGATATAT